TCTCCGACTCAGTTGAAATGTACATTGGTTTTTTTAATAATCTTAAGAACAAGTAGTTTTTGATATTTTTGTATCTTATTAATATTAAAAATATGTTTATTAGGTATATAAAGTCAATTGAAAAAAATAATATTGCTAACAAAAATGTATATTACTCTATGTTGCTTGTTTTAACGTTCAAATAAAATTGAGTAAAATATTTTTAAAATCAAAATATATATTTTATATGAAAATAAACATGCAGAAATTGATTGAATATGAATTATTTTGAAATAATAATAAATTTTTAATTAACATTCATATTTTTGTAAAAATATATAAAATATTAATAATTGGCTTAATTACATGTCATTTAACAATATGTTTTTAATTCATAATTTCAATATATGTATATGATCTCTGTCTCTATTTATTGTATATATATCAGTTTTGTATATATATATATACATATTGTATATATATTTGAAAGAATTCTGACTTCTATTAAATAATTTTTACATTTTAGTGAGAGACCTGACCTTTGTTAAATATTTTTACGTTTTAATGCGCAATAAATTCTTGTCGCTTGAGCAATCACGCCGAGGTAAGCGTATCTAAAGAGAAAGGAAGATCGAAAAAGGTTTGAGGATAGAAAGGAAGAAAATTCGAGAACCGAATTGGAGTGAAACTGGAAGAGTAAAATTCTTCATGCATACGATAGTAGTCTTATTGATAGGAATATTTAAGATATTAAAATACCATAATTTGCATGTTAAGTAACTTGTATTTTTATATTTGTATTTTATAGCTTAAGCTAGGAGAAAATTTAATTTTAATAGTAATAAATCAAGAGAAGCGCCAAACAGGAATATGTAAAAATATCTATCTAATAGTCTGAGATATCGTAATGTTGTATAGATGGCGTCCATTTCACGCACATGTTCCGACGGATCAGACAATGTTGCATCCGGCAACAGTATTTCAGATCTTAAATCAGCTAAAAATAGACAACTCATCCCTCCAAAAGAAAAAAATTTCGTGTGCCGAAATTCTGATTTATTTATTAATTATAACAAAAAAGAATGTCTAAAATTTGATTGCAAAGATAAAAATATTTTTATGTGATATAGATAACAACTCTGAAGAATATAAATCTGTATGTCTTCCTTTCTCTCTCTCTCTCTCTCTTTATATATATATATATATATATATATATATATATATATATATATATGTTATGACGATGATTCTTGATTCACACACAAAGAGGAAGGTCAAAAGATAGTTGTGAGACAAATACCTTCTTCCTTTGCTATTCAATTGTTTGCCAATCGTCACAAAATAAAGAGTATGATAAATTTTAAAGTCAGTGTAGAACATGTGCGTCCGAAAAATTAGGTAGTTACGTTCACAATGTCGTATTAATCGCCTATCATGGATCGCAAGTTAGTACCTATAATTCTGATATTGTATTGATGAAAAGCGATTTATGTTAAAAATATAGTAGCCCGACTAGTGAGTGGCTGATCGTTCTAGGCTGAGTTTGGGATCTTCATAAACACTAAGAAGATGTGTATAAGCAGGGTCAAGATCGTATGTTCAGTATTCTCATCTTCTCGCGTGCGGTCGAAATTCTTGCCGTGAAAGGAACAAAAGGTTGTGGTACTTAACGCTCTCACTTTTACAACTTGTTGACGAGATAACGTAATTATATTGTATGATAATAATCGGTAAAGTAATCGGTGATAATATCTTTTTGCCTTATGATATTAAAAATTTTTTTCAATTAATTTCCGTATATATAATATTTTTCATTACTATTAGGTACTAAATATTTATTGATAAAAAATGGACATGATATCAATTGATATCTTAAATTAACATACATTAAGTTTTAAAAATTAAGCTAAATTGATTGTTCTTATTGATCATATTCTATGCTTGTGGCTAGACATAAAAATATCTGAAAAAGTATTTATTAAAAGTATTATATTGATTAATAGTTATCAGTAATTATATATACATGATTATTGATAATTATTAATATATATGTATACATATTTTTACGTTCAGTCAATGTCACGAGTATTGATCTCTGTAAAATATATCCAATGGATATATCACCCGACAGATGTCTTCCGGTCGTTTTACATCTTTGTTTTAAAATCCATGCTCATGTCTTTCACGACGAGAAGCGAACATAATAAGAGAAAAGCGATGTCGAATGAACGAAGCCCTAAGCGCGGCCGGAATACAATTTTAAACAAAACATCAATGAATGAGTAAACTAATCAGATGTTTAATAAAAAAACTATCCTACTGGATCTCTATTTCTAAGGTGCAACATTATCTAAATTACAAAGGACTACTAAGTCCGTGTGAATGGCTACAATATATTATATATGTGTATTTTGTGTATGTGTGCGTATATCAGATAGGCACATATATATATATATATATATGTATATAATATATATGGGTGCGCGTAAGTATATTCGTATACACACACACACATTATATATATATATATATATATATGTATGTATATACGTACGTATGTTCTGTAAGTAAATGCATTTGTTTTATGTGTGGTGTACGAACGTGTTACACGGCTGTGGATACGAATGTGGTACAAAATGAAAAGTACGTGCTTTGCACTACTGGGAAAATCGATAGGAAGAAAGAGCGAGAGAGGAATGAAAACGAAAGCAAAAAGGAAAATAGGGATCGAAAATTGAGAACGAAAAAAGAAAGATGAGATAAACGAAAACAGAATAACCGTAATTTGGAAATTCTTAGGCATATGAGACAGCCACGAATGCTGACAACAGATAAACGTGGCGAAGTATGAAAAGAAACGTGAAGACAGCTTGATGATGATTGGATTATATAGAGTGAATTTGAATTCGTGAGAGACTGAGTTCTGGACAATTGTATAGTTCTGCCACGGTACTGTAACAGATACTTATGTAACGACGATAATATAATACAATATAAATGATAACGAAGTAATTAGTTTCAAGTGAAATGATTAAGTGGGAAATTTCGATCGGACGGTAGCGATCGTGTTGCGTTTATCGTATCGTCCGAGCTTTGCTGCAAGTTGATTGTAATTAGTTATTAAATATATCACTGATGTTTATTATGATTATTAAACAAATTCTTAAGATTATTATTATTATATTATATTATATTATTATTAATATTATTATCATTATTATTGTGAGCGTCACGTTAATATTATGTTATTGTTTTTATTGTGTGTTGTTTTATATGTACCTATCAGCCTATAATAATAACATTATTACAGTAATCTATATACGCGCACACGCAGTCACAGTAGAGGAACGGAAAAAAGAAGTAAATAGACGTTATTATCTTTGTCCGCTCTAAATACTGACTTGAGTTTTCGATCTATAAATTTACTACAGCATCCAATTTGAAAAGAAATTTCCTATCTGTTAAGATATAAATAAAAATTTATGTTTCTTAATTCATTGAAAATTTCATAACGCTTAAAATTGTAGTAATCTTTGATCGATAATTTGGAAAATGAATAATACATAACTAAAATTATGTATTGTGTAATTAAGGCGCGGGAAAAGGGAAGTGGGATGCTTGAAAGATAGCACCGTTTTATTTAAAAAAAATTGTTTTTATATAGAGATGTTTTAAATATTTTTGTGACTTAATTGCTAAAATATTTTTCTGTTATTTTTTTTATAGGCGATGACAAAACTGTAATACATCAAATTATTTCTTACACGAAATTAATATAAAAATGATGATTGTGTCATTTATGTTGTGCAGTATTGTTCTTCATGCAGTAAAAAAATGCTAGCTCATCTTTGATTTGCTACTTCATATCGTATTATATATTATTATGCGCCATATTTGTAAATTATATGCGTAAATATTATTTAATGTTCCGTTTAAACATCTCCATTCTTATATCACATATGACAAAAACATATAACGAAATATTACAAATAAATCGTCATGTTTTTTTATTAAATTAATTATGTTCAACCCACTATGCATGCAAAAATAATGAAGAAAAATATTTTTGCAATCCTTTTACAATGCATTTTAACAGATATGCATACTTAAAATATAATGTATAAATTTTTTTTATATAAG